TTAAAAGTATAGAAATGCTACCAATTTTTGTACATTGATTTTGTAACCTGACACTACTGAGGTTATTAATCAGGTCTAGGAGTCTTTAGGGTTTTCTACGTATACAATCATGTAGTCAATGAACAGATAACTTGACTTTCTCTTTTCCATTTTGGATGCCTTTTATTTCTTTCTCTTGCCTGATAGCTCTGGCTAGGACTCCAGTACTTGTTGAACAGTAGAGGTGAGAGTGGACAGCCTTGTCTTATTCCAGTTCCTAGGGGAAATGCTTTTAACTTCTCCCCATTTGTTATGATGTTGGCTGTGGGTTTGTCATAAATAGCTCTCAGTGTTTTTACGTATGTTCTGTTCATGCTTAGTTTTTGTTTGTTTATTTTTGTTTTGAGCCAGAGTTTCACTTTGTTGCCCAGGCTGGAGTGCAATGGTGCGATCTTGGATCACTGCAACCCCTGCCTCCCAGGTTCAAGTGAGTCTCCTGCCTTAGCCTACTGAGTTGCTGCGATTACAGGCATGCACCACCACACCTGGCTAATTTTTGTAGTAGAGACGGGGTTTCACCATGTTGGCCAGGCTGGTCTTGAACTCTCAACCTCAGGTGATCCACCCATCTCAGCCTCCAAAGTGCTGGGATTACAGACATGAGCCACGTGCCCAGCCAGTTTTTTGTTTTGTTTTGTTTTGTTTTTTGTTTTTTTTTAGGGTATTTATCATGAATGGATGTTGGATTTTATCAAATGTTTTTCTGCATCTATTGAGATAATCATATGATTTTTGTTCTTCCGTTTATGTGGTGGATCACATTTATTGATTTGTGCATGTTAAACCATCCTTGCCTCCCTGAATGAAGCCCAATTTATCATAGTAAATTAACTTTTCGGTATGTTGTTGTTTCTGGTTTGCTAGTATTTTGTTGAGAATTTTTGCATCTATGTTCATCAGGTATATTAGCCTGTAATTTTCTTTTTGTTTTTGTTGTATCCTCGCCTGGCTTTGGTATTAAGGTAATACTGGATTTGTAGAATGAGTTAGGAAGGGATCCCGCCTCCTGGGTTTTTTGGAATAGTTTGGTAAGAATGGTTCTGGCTCTTCTTTGTACGCCTACTTCATTTTGCATACAGGGCCACAGGTCTTAGTACCATATAGTGTTTTCTACTGCTGACAGCGTTAGATAAACCTTTACTAAAGTTTAATACCATCTTCATTAGTTTCCTATTTCTTTGTAACAAAGTAACACAAATTTAGGAGCATACACAATGAAAACTTACCATTTCACAGTTGCTGTGGGTCAGGAATCCAGTAGGAGTTAACTGAGTCTTCCGCTCTAGAACCTGCTCTCAGTGCTTGGCACATAGCTTTCATAGATAAATCACAACGTGACTGAGTTTTCCAGGCCAGCAATAGTGAATCCTTGATGATTCACCTTCTTCTAATGGGCTCATCTGACTAGCTCAGACCTACCCAGGACAGTCTTCCTCTTGATTAATTCAAAGTCAACTGATTAGTAACTAAGCATAGAATTGATATTTCCTTATATTAACTGTCCAAGCAACACTCAAGGGTAGAGGATTAACCTGATTGTGTACACCAAAGGCAGGAATCTTGGGGACCATCTTAGAATTCTACTTTCCGCACCATCTAATTATCCTTTTCATCCATTACCATAGTTACAATATAATTATGTACACAGTTATTTGTATTTTTCTCATTATTTTATTGCCAAACCTTGTATAGTTCCTTGAAAATAGTAGCTCTTCAGAATTCCTAAATATATTAATTAATCCCTTGGTCATTTTGATTGGAGGTGAAAAATTTTCTTCATCTATTGATCACAAGTTTAAAAATAAGTGTCCTTCATTGGATCTTTACTTTTGTGAAATTTAGCAGTGAACGTTTTCTTTCTTCACTCTTCCCAACATCTGAAGGTGAATTCTTTCTAATGTTCTGTGCTGCAGTGTAATTCCTCGACTGGTATTTTAGGTAGGTTTCAATGAGAAATAGATGGAAACCCAAGTTGGGATAGTTTAAAGAGGGTTTAATAAAGGTTCTTCTGGGCCGGGCACAGTGGCTCGTGCCTGTAATCCCAACACTTTATGGGGCTGAGGCAGGTAGATCATCTGAGGTTAGGAGTTCAAGAGCAGCCTGGCCAACATGATGAAACCCCATTTCTATTCAAAATACAAAAAATTAACTGGGCGTGTTGGCAGGTGCCTGTAATCCCAGCTACTCAGGAGGCTGAGGCAGGAGAATTGCTTGAACCTGGGGGATGGAGGTTGCAGTAAGGCAAGTTGGCACCATTGTACTCCAGCCTGGGTGACAGAGCAAGACTCTGTCTCAAAAAATAAATAATAAATAAATGTACTTTTCTGTGTACAGATATGGACAGAGTATAAGGAGCTCATAAGGGGCACTTGAGTAATTGTCAGAGCTGTTAACTGCCTCTAGGCCCCAAAGGGAGGTGGGACATGAGGCATGATACTTTGTTATATGAAAGCATGAAAGCATAGTGAGTTGAATGGTGGCACCCAAAAGGATAGGTCCAAGTCCTAACCCCTGGAACCTGTGGATGTGATCTTACTTGGAAAAGAGTATTTGCAGATATAATTTAAGTTAAGGACCTCCAGATGAGCTTACCCTGGATTTGGGGTGGGCCTTAAAGGCAATGGCAGGTGTCCTTGTAAGAGAAAAGCAGAAGCAGATTAAATGCACAGAGATACAGGAGAAGACAATGTGAAGATGGAGGCATACATGGGAGTGATGCAGGTATAAGCCAAGGAACGCCAAAGATTACCTGCAGTCAGAGGAAGCCAGGACAGAGATGTGCAGCATATTTTACAGCAGAGCATCTGTGAGGAACAAACCCTGTCTACACCTTGAAACACAGTTGTTGTTTTTACAAATAAAAAGCCAGTTATTCCTCACATTTATTGAAGAAACCATTTATAATATGTATTTAATTCTCACATTCCATATTTCTGTTTCTAGAGCCTCTTTTAAGCTATACTGTATTGATTTATGGACCTGTGGTACTTGCTTGCTCCTAGATCACACTATTTTAATTCTTGAATTAATTTCATAATGGACTGTGAAAGCTGACAAAGCAATTTTCATCCTCATTTTTTTCTTCTGGGGAAAAAAGGACCCCACTGTTCTCAGTGTTTCTTTCTCAGATATATTTTACAATGGGTTTGCTGAATGTTGTTAAAAATCATTTTGGGATTTTTTTTGGAGGGGAGTACATTTAATTTAAATATGTTTCTGCAAATGCAGGTATATTAGCTGCAAGACATATTTTATGAGATACTATGTTGGGAGAAATTCACTAATTATCAGAGATTTGCTTAGCAGCTTAGAACTAAGATATGAATGACTTGATAAGATCAATAAGGAATTATTTACCATGACTGTATTCAAGAATGGCAATAAAAAAATGAGAGCCCAGATGATAAATAATGGGAAAGAGCCCAGTAATTAGACATAACCCAAGAAACAAGGAGAATTAGATGCATCTTGTCTCAAGCTCCAGTCTGACCTGCACCCAAAATGTTAGCGTGGGTATGGAAGCCCAGCATCCTCTGTTTACCCAGGGCAGCCTAGGATAGAGACAGAAAGTGTGACGTGCACATGCTCTTTAGGAGGCCTGGGGATTGTTGCAGTGTTCCACTCATGCACACAGGGGCTTCTTGCCGCCTGCGTTCTGCCCATCTTGTTTTCCAGATCGGTCACGCTTCTCCACCTTTCTCTGCAGAGAAGTCATGAGAGCCCAGACAGCAGAAGCAGGGGCTTGACTTTCAGAGCGTATGTTCCTGTTCTGTCTCTGACCAGCCACAAGTCTTTGGGCACAGGCACCTGTGGAAGCCTTCAGTTTTTTATATGTAAAACGGAGACATCTGGAAAGCCAACAGGACGTACCTCGTAGAGGTCCAGTGAAGGATGATACTCAGAGTAAACTAATCCCCTGACCAGGTCAGTGGAGCTTATTTTACACACAGACCCACTGCTACGTGATGCAGTCTTAGCCCTTGGCTTCCTCTCCCGAGAGTTCACAAAGGAGACACTACATTTAGGAGAGACTGTCAAGGGAGGCGCTGGAAGAAAATGAGACTTTATTAGGCATGAACTGTGCGGAGGACAACATTATATTCTGGAACATGCAGAGGAAATGGGTAACTAGGATATGGTAAATTCCCTGCTGTTCAGGAGCCTTCCTTGTAGTTGGTGGGGCAAAACCTCCTGGAGTGGAGCAATATGAGATACAGAGTGAAGGAGAGTGTATCAGCAGCATGGGCAATGCAGATATACATGAGTTGCCCAAGAGCTCCAGACCCAAGGAGTTTATGAGAATTTTCTGGAGGAGGACTTTTTGGTGTAAGTGGTACAGGAAATTTATTTCTGAGTGTAAAATGACACCGTGTAGTGAAAATGTGACTGCCGATGCGTTTTATGGAGCGTGTAATCTGGAAAGGCTCAAGTGTACGATGCAGTAAATCAGGATCTAGTAAATTACTGCTGGGGCTAGTGGTCGTTAAACAAGTAGAAAAACACTTTGCTTTGGCTGGATTAGAGGTCAGGAGTAAGAGGTGTGGTGGCATTTAGTGAAAGTTTGGATTATGGAGACTTGAAAAACTGTGATGTAAATTTTAATTCTCACTTTATTTGCAGAGTCTGAAACTATGCTAGTCCACCCAAGTTAAAAATATATATGAGATTCTTATTTCAGTCAGGTAGGGTAAGTGAATGGTACTCCATCTGTTTACGCCATTTCACCTTAGCTGGCCAACAATGAACCCATCATTGCAATCTTGATTTGTGAAGTCTTTATTCTTTAGGTAAAAGCTGGATGGGCAGCTGGTGCTGGCATCGCTGCTGGGCTCCACCCTCTTTTTTCAGAGGCCTCCCTTTGATTGTTCTCTTCCTGCTATGGATATTTCTTGGCCACCTTCCTACCCCTTTGGGTCTCTTCCTCCTCTCCCACTTCCACATAACCCCATCTGTGCCCTCGCTTCAGGTTTCTCTCTCCCTATCTCCTCAGCAGTCTGATGCTCAGATACAGGGACAACAGTCAGGGCCAATTACTGTCCTTCAGGGCCATTCCTTTCACTGGGGACCAGAAAGGGTGCCATGCTCGTGGCTGAGGAGCCCACAGGAGGAAGGCAAGGTGGATGATGTGCCAGCCACTATAGACTCTGTCTCAGGGGAGCTCTTTGAAAAAAGGAGGACCTGGTCCTCTTTCTCTGACTGCTCCACTTCCTGCAGCAACTTGTAGAAGGGTCCCGGAGGGCTTGCGTAATACGGAGCTTCCTTGGGCCCCGTCAGCTTCAAGCTGGGAGCGTAACAACGATGCCAAAAGGAAGAGAAGCCGTAGATTCCCAACAGGCACGAGGCATCGATCATCACATGCCAGCAGAAGAAGGTGGTGACAAACATGATGTCACTGATGTCATCGTCCTCCCATGGGTAGCCAGAGACAGGTCTGTATAGAATAAAGCCTGCCTGCATCAGCCAGGAGCCCATCATGAGGATCAGAAAGGTCTCCATCAGCTGGAGATGACACATGTTGGGAGCCCACAGCTCTGCAGTGAACACCAGCAACAGCAGGAACACCACCAGGATGAGCAGAGAGTGCACGTGCAGCTCCACCCTTTCTGAGTATTTTTATTTTTCTCAGACAGAGTATCCCTCTGTCATCTGGGCTAAAGTGCAGTGGCACAATCTCAGCTCACTGCAACCTCCACCTCCCAGATTCAAGCAGTTCTCCTGTGTCAGCCTTCCGAGTAGCTGGGATTGCAGTCCCGCGCCACAATGCCGGGATAATTTGTTTGTATTTTTGGTAGAGATGGGGTTTCGCCATGTTGGCCAGGCTGGTCTCAATCCCCTGACCTCATGATCTGCCCACCTCAGCCTCCCAAAGTGCTGGGATTACAGGCACGAGCCCCGCACCCAGCCCTTCTGAGTCTCTAACATGTGACACCATCAGCAGCAGGAGCTCATAGATGATCAGGACCAGGGTACCTTTTTCTAGGCCCACACACCTCTGAGGCAGCACATTCTTGCTCATGAAGTCCACGCAGCCATTGAGAGTGAGGAGGATGAACATGGTGAGGTGCTGCCACTCTTTGGGGTACATGAACCTTGATAGCATCTGCTTTCTCATCAGTACCATCCCGCCATCTAGACACATACAATGTTAAGAGAGAGCGTGTCATTATCTTCAGTAATCCTCCATAGGCTATTTTCCACAGCCTGGCACATCTTTGCTTATTCCTGGGAGGGCACAAAGGATACAGGAGACAGCCTTTGAGTATCATGGCCTTGGAGACCACTGTGGCCTGATATAGTCCGTAAGAGAAAAGAAATACCTCTGGGTAAAAATGGCCAATGAACTTCCCCATGGAATAGAGGTCTCTCTGACTGAAGAGTGAACAATACTCAGGACCTCTCTGCCCTCCTTTCCCTCACAGGCCCCTGGAGTTTTGGGCTATATATACAGAGCTAAGTTCTACCTACTTTTATCATCTCCTTCTGCCCACTGCTCCCACAGAATGGAAAATTCTGGATAGGAGCCTAGGTTTTTAGTGAGGTAGGTCTCATTGTTGCATTTCATTCTAGTACACTGGGAACTAATTGAGTTCTGCCAAAGTATAAAAATAAATATTTTTTAGGATGCACCTGTGGGAATTTCTGGTCTCAGGAGTTCTGTTTTGGGGTCCTTGAGGACCTTCTGGTCATACTTGTCCCTTTCTCTAATTACTTGCTTCCTTCTGCCCCTGTTCAATGCTCAGAATAGGAGGAGAGAGGTGCCTGAGCACGGAGATTATGCAGAGAAGGCCTAGGTTACTCACAAACCCTCATGCATCCTTTAAGGCTCCTTACTTGGCCAGGCGCAGTGGCTCAAGCCTATAATCCCACCACTTTGGGAGGCCAGGGCAGGCAGATCTTGACGTCAGGATTTCGAGACCAGCCTAGCCAACATGGTGAAACACCGTCTCTATTAAAAACACAAAAACTAGCTGGGCATGGTAGCAGGTGCCTGTAATCCCAGCTACTCGGGAGGCTGAGGCAGGAGAATCATTTGAACTCAAAATATACCCTATTTAACCCCTGACAACTGGAACAGGGGCGTCCACAGTCAGAGGAGGAGGAGGGCAGAAGTGTGCACTAGAACACCAGATGTTTGTGGCTTAAAATGAAATGGATGCAGAATAAATAGCCCCAAATAAACTTCTATCTGTGGTGTCCAGTCCCCCTCCTTGGCCAGGCATCAAGGCTACGTGTTGTTCATTTAACCACGAACATCCTAATCTCAGGACTTTGAAGATAGTAATCACCCATCTCAAACCAGACACTGCCCACAGTAGCTGAGAAAGAAGCCAAAGGTGGTGAATGATTAGCAGAACTGCCAGGCAGCTCCAGAGCCTGAACACAGCGTACCAGGAAAGCTGTTTTGTTGGGGAAACTCAGACTGACCAAAGGAGCCAAGGAGGCCCTTCTACTCCATAGTGAGACTCCCCCCACGCCTGTCTCCCCAAAGCACCATCCTATAGTCCCAAGGGGCCCCATGGGGCCCCAAGCACAGCCTTTACCACTGTATCTAGCGTCATGAAATGCTCCAGTGAGCAAGAAGGTCCTCAGGAATCCAGTAAAGATGAATTTACTAATGGTGATGACATAATCTTGTCCTCACAGAGATTACAGTATCACTAAAAGTGTAGTACACATACACACGAAATATACAAGCCTATGTGAAAGAGTTATTTGGAATTAGAGAGTGTCATGCCGAGTGATGTGTAGAATGCATTTTAGAGGATTTTAATAAGAAGATTTGTTTGTGGGGAAGGTATAAGGAATCATCTCTGGACATGTCATAGAAAACTTCCCATTACTGGGGATGGAGGCAGCAGACCACCATGGCACGTGAATACCTATGTAGCAATCCTGCACGAACTGCACATGTACCCCAGAACTTAAACTATAATAATAGAAAAGAAAACTACCCATTGCTATGTTTTACTATAAGAATCTTTACTAAAGATTCTTTCAAAATCACCTTTTTAATTTGTCCCACTTTGGTTGCTCAAGTTTTCCTCACCGTATTTGTCATCATTAATGTTTATAATTTATTTTGTCTCATTAGGAAACAGCTCCAGGCGACGGAAAACCAGCTGCCTTCATCAGAAACTCACAGGTGGCATTTCTATGGGGAATCGACACAAGGTCAGAGTCCAGGACTCATCTGTCCAGACTTTTTTCTTAATAGTTCAAACATGGGTGAGCTACTCTAATAGCATCAACAGAGAAATGTTTTGTTTGCTACTCTAGAACCACCCTCCACCCTTACCCACCCTCTATGCCTCTGGAGGCTGCACTTGACGGACGGCAGTGACAACCTTCTTCACACTCTGGTTTCTGCTTGGGTTTGTTAAAGGAAGGCACAGGAAGAAAGAAGGAGGGTGGTGAGCCGAAGGAGGGTGGGTCTGATGTAGCCGTTCCCAGGTAGCCTCTCTGCTGAGTGCAGAGAATGTTTGCATCACCTACAGAGGGCCCCAGCTCCAGCAGGAGGCCAGCTCCTGTAGCTAGAGCTAACCCTCAGGTCTGGTCAGCAGCTTCCCTGTGCGTAGGTGTGGTTAATGGCTCTTCACTGTTGCTAACCCTTGGGTATGTTAGCATCCCTGCCAAGATCGTTTTAAATGGCTCCTTTAGTTAACACTTAACAGTTTTACCCCATTTGAGTGTGCAATTCTGGGTCAATGATTGATAAGAGTAACAGACATCAAGGGTGGCCTCAAGAGTGGCCCTCAAGAGAGAATTCTGGGACGAGGTTGCTCTCACACTTGAAAAATACATGGATAACCTCCTTGCCAGGGAAAAGGAAGCATTTCATCTCTAAGTTATGGAGGCATCACAATTACACCATCATTGCACAGACGGAAGTGCAAGTGAGGGCAGGGGGTTGGGAGAGGAAGTGGCTTTGAAAAATTGGTACGATGGTGACAATAATGATTACACAAATTTTGGGTCAGCTAACTCCTTTTGGTGCCCTAGATACATGTGTCTGGTAGCCACTAACTACACGTGTCTATTTACATTAAAATTAAGATTAATTGAAACTAAATAAAATTTAAAATTCAGTTCTTCAGTCACATGAGCCACATTTCAATTACTCAAAAACCGCATGTGGCTAGTGACTGCTATATTCTAGGCCAGCACAGGTAGAGAACACTTTTATCACTGCAGAAAGTTGTATTGGACAGTGCTGTCCAAGGGAGTGTACAGAGTGAAAAGAAAAATTGAAGGCCTTAAATTCTCCATTCAGAAGATGGGTGGAAAATGAAAACACTTTTATGCCAGCTTTGAAGGAATCCCTCATTTCTTCTGTTTGCATGGCAGATATGGCAATGATTACATCAAGTGCTGTATTATATGGCTTGTACAGTGGCAGAGCCAATCAAATGCTTGTTCATGCCAGTCTCTAAGACTAAATTAAGTGCTCTAGTGGGAGAAGGAATGACATCCTGAGATATGAGAGGGAGAAACAGGTGAGGCTAAAAACTTTGTTTTATGTTTTTTTGAGACAAGGTCTCACTCTGACACCCAGGCTGGGGTACAGTGACACAATCTCAGTTCACTGCAACCTCTCCCTCCCAGGCTCAAGAGATCCTCCCACCTCAGCCTCGTGAGTAGCTGAGACTACAGGCCCGCACCACCATGCTTAGCTAGTTTTTGTATTTTTAGTAGAGACGGGGTTTCACCATGTTGGCCAGTCTGGTCTCGAACTCCTGACTTCAGGTAATCCACCTGAGTCAGCGTCCCAAAGTTCTGGGATTACAGGCGTAAGCCACCGTGCCTGGACAGGCTGAAAACTTTGAACTCCTTAATCCTCTATGACCTCTTTTTTTAATTGAGGAAACCCCCCTTCCCACCATAAAGAACACCTTCCCTCTGTATAAACACCTTTCAATGACTATGCCTGGGAGAATGTCAGCCCCATGGGATGCTGATCTCTATAGGATCCACTCCCACTTCCCTAATTACCTCCAGGACCACAACAAGAGTAGATCCCAAATAAGGATGTACAAGACCTGGTCTGAGGTGGGAGAGGAAACTGATACACTAAAATAATTATGAGACGTTACCAACCAGTTTTGGCCAGAGTTTGGGGAGGATGGATATGAATGAACCCTAAAGCTGTTTGACCATGCAAAGTAAAATTGAAGATCTGACTGAGCCACATTTATCAATATGAGTTTTCTTCCCTGAGATTCTGAATCTGATGTGTTGGCTTGAGCAAATAGAAGTAGCATGTAAAGTTTGCTAGGTTGGCCCGTCGGTGGCCTGCAGTCAGTAGAATTGACATTTTGGAAGTTCCTGGTAAACACTAGAGAAGCACTGCCAAACAGAACTTTCGATTTCTACGATGAATTTTGTATGGTGTGTGCTGTCCAATGCAATAACTTCTAGCCACCTGTGGCTATTGAGTACTTAAAATGTGACCAGAACAACTGAGACACTGAATTTTATTTTATTTTAATTAATTTAAATTTAGCACATAGGGCTAGTGGCTACTGTATTGGATAGTGCCACTCTAGTTGAAAAAGTCTGAAGGCTCAGGGGAATTGGCAATGTTAGGGGAACCTATAAGGGCAACTAGCTCAGCCACCCCTTAATCATAGTCCCTGGAGGGTTTGGAAGAGATTTTCTTTTTCTTCTGATTCTACTCTGGCTGTAATCTAGAGCCTCTGATATATGGCGTTACCATTCACTTCCTATTAGTTTTTCCATTTTTATTTTTACTTTAACACAAAAGTTACCTAGAAGAATGTCTTAATTTCCAAATAAATTGTTTTGTTTCCTTTTACCATTCTTTCTATGTTGATGTTATTTCTGCTTTGGGCAGGGTGGTAGGGAGCAGGGGAATGTATTTTTTCCTTAATAAATGTTCCTTGAGCAGTATTCAAATCTTCAAAATAATTAATTCAAATCTTCAAAATTAATTTAAAAATAATATTTATTAATTTTGTATATGATATCCTAATTTCTTAAATGAATATATTATTACGTTCTTTGACCATGGCTCTGTATTATTTCTCTTTATTTCTATCAGCATTTATTTAATGCTTATATTTATATATGTATAAATAAAATGCCACATTGTCAATGCGTTAAGATTCATAACTTATATTTTTTTGGTGAATTGAATACAATTGAAAGAAAATATCTTTGTCACTCTTAATTGTTAATGCTTCTCATCTCATTTTCTTTTGTCAGATATTAGCATTACAGCATGTGCTTTCTTTTATTATTTACCTAGTATATTTTAGTGCCTATTTTTCAGCCTTTTTGTGCCCCTTCAGTTTAAGAATCTGTCTTTTAAATACTAGTTTTACACTATAGTTGAGGCTATTCAGAAAATCTGTGTTACTTTGACAAAGAAACTTAAGATACTTAAATTTATTGTGATCATTAATGTATTTAGACTTACTGATATATTTTGGACCCCAGTTCTTCCTTTAAAAAGAATTCTGTAGGAATGAGTAACGTACATTTACTAGAATTAAAATTTCCCCTAAAACAAAGATAAGTGTGTTAGAATTGAAGGTTAGAGAAGCCTGAGATGTCCTATGTTTTCAGCCTTTCTCACTCCTACAGCTCCAGCTTTGTAAAACTTTACAAACAATCCCATTGGATCTTAAGAACCTTGACATACCATATAGGCACGTAACAAGCACAGACATCCTTGGTTTCTCATAGCACCAATAGTTTGTGTGAAGCCTCTACTCTTTTGCTCCTCAAATAAATGAATTACATATATGAGATTTAGTTAACATCAAGACCTTACCTCACTGGCATCTCACACAGAGCAGCACTACCAAATGCAGCAGTTATTGGCTAGTGTCTTTTCTCCATGTTATGAAAGACAAGAACATTTTGAGATACCCTAAGAAGCAACAGCGTAGCCAGGCGTGGTGGCTCAAGCCTATAATCCCAGCACTTTGGGAGGCCGAGGCGGGTGGATCACTTGAGGTCAGGAGTTCGAGACCAGCCTGGCCAACATGGTGAAACCCCACCTCTACTAAAAATACAAACATTAGCCAGGCATGGTGGTGGGCACCTGCCTGTAATCCCAGCTACTCAGGAGCTGAGGCAGGAGAATAGCTTGAACCTGGGAGGTGGAGGTTGCAGTGAGCCAAGATCGTACCACTGCACTCCTGCCCGAGTGACAGACAGAGACATTCCATCTCAAAAAAAAAAGAAGCAACAGTGTGAGGTGGTGGTTGGTGGGACGGACTCTAGGACTACTCTGCCATGGTTGGAACCTCACCTTTGCCATGTTTTCTGCCATTCAGTAGTTGTAAGAGCTCAGTCCAGTAGCTTAACCTCTCTCACGTCAGAGGGTTACTGTTACTGTATGGATTAGAAGACATAATTTATGTAAAAATACTACCGCAATCCTCATAAAAACTCAGAAAATGGTGGTTGATATTAATAATTGGTATCTTAGTCCATTCTCAGGACTGTAGACCGGACTTTTTACAGAAATTGTCTTTCCTTCTTTCGTCCTTTCTTTCTTCCTTCCTTCCTTCTCTTTTCTCTTCTTCTCTTTTCTTTTTCTTTTCTTTCTTTCTCACTTTCTCTCTTTCTTTCTTTGTTCTCTTCAGGTTCTCACTCTGCTGCCTAGGCTGGAGTGCAGTGGAGTGATCTCGGCTCACTGCAACCTCTACCTCCTGGGTTCAGCTGATTCTTCTGCCTCAGCCTCCCAAATAGCTGGGACTACAAGTGTGTGCCACCACACCTGACTAATTTTTGTATATATACTAGAGATGGGGTTTCACCATACTGTCCAGCGGGGTCTCAAACTCCTGACCTGAAGTGATCAGCCCGCCTCGGCCTCCCAAAGTGCTGGGATTACAGGTGTGAGCCACTGTGCCCGGCCTGTTATTTCTGTAATACCTCAAGAAGGAGAACTGGGGAGCTCCTTTAATTTTTAAAATATTTCTATAAAGAGACATAATTGTCTTCCCTTGATATTCTCAGCATCCCCCAAGCTGACCGAAGATATCAGTCCATGAACAGAGAGCCTGAGGCTTAAACAGGTGTCACATTTGCTGGTCTCATACTCAGAACCTCTGCCCTATTTTTACCTGTTTTGTCTGCAGTTGCTGCATTAAGACCTGGCCTTAATGAAATATTTGGTTCTGGATCTTTTCATGTCCCCAATTAACTTTAATGAGCAAATAGGGAAAGATCAAGAGAGCTGCGGCTGGGACTTAGGAGAAACTTTGAAGCAGAAGCCAGGATGGGGTAGATGCCCTCTGGCAATTGACCAGCGTTTGCTTTTGGTGACAGCGAACCTTCAGATCTAGTTCATCTGAGCTGCAAACAAGGGGCTGTGGTACCAGCGTATCTGATATTTCACCTTTTGCAATGCCTCTGTGTATCTCATGCAACAAACATGTGTCTGTGAGCAAGAAAATTCTGTAATGCTTCTCTGAAATTCTTTGGGTCATACCCAGTTGAATAAGACACTGTAACTGCTCTTAAGGATTTCACTTTCTAGGAGAGGAAGTAAGATGTACACAGGAGGCCACACTGGGAGAAGACTATGACATGTCATAAAAGAGGTACAAAGTTCCAACTGACACAGGACGATGCGCTTGTTCCCGCCTTGGAGTCATCTGAGCGGCCAGATGCAGGAGTTAGGTGACAGTTGCTCTTTTAAGAATAATGGAGGTCTGGTGCAGTGGCTCTCACCTGTAATCTCAGCAATTTGGGAGGCTGGGGCAGGAGGATGACTTGAGCCCAGGAGTTTGAGGCCAACTGGGCAACATAGCGAGACCCTTTCTCTACAAAAAATAAATAAATAATGAGCCAGGCAAGTGTGGTGATGCATGCCTGTAGTCCCAGCTACTCAGAAGGCTGAGGTGGGAGGATCACTTGAGCCCAGAAGGTTGAGGTTGAGCCATGATCACACCACTGCACACCAGCCTGAGTGGTGGAGCAAGACCCTATGTCAAAAAAAAAAAAAAAAAAAAAAAGTGGCCCTTTAGTTGGAACATACAATGTATGTATGCACTGGCAGGAAAGTCCAGGGAATGTTCTGAGAGAAGCAAGTTGTACCCATCCTGTTTCTTCCATCTGTGTTTTCATGGGAAAATCTCTCAATCAATCTGAGCCTCATTTTCCCTATAAGTTAAATGAAGCTCTGTCCATCCACTCCTCAGAAGAATTGCAAAGGTCAAATGATTTGTATGGTAATAGGCAGGGAAGTGGATCATCATATGTGCTCAAATAATGGTGGTTAGTGTCTCTCACATCTATTTCTGTTTCTCCTTCTTTATTCTAGTTCTTAAGCTGGTAAGAAGCAGATCTCTGAGACTTTCTACTGGGATATGGAATTTTGGGGCAAAAAGAAGAGTGGGGATCAATACAGACATTTATTTATTTATTTTTAAATAATACACTTGGAGATAGAAGTTGAGAAGTGCTAATATTTAAATAAGGAGGTTTGGGATTGCCAAAGGCAACTCCCAGCAGGGTAAGTTCCTTTTTGTCATAAAAGGACCTCAGTGTCCTGGGGAGTATGAGTTCTGGGGGAGAATGAGTTCTGGACTGGACCCCAGGCTGAATGCCCCC